TGACTATTGTAAGTTTTTTTTGTAATTAACTTTTGGTGAATAAATATTATTAATATTATTATGATTATGAAATATGTGCAGTAGGAACAAACATACGTATTTTTTACTTGCTAGGTTTCGTATATGAACAATATTCTCCCACAGTTAGTAGGAAGGACGTGACTTGGATTAGGCACTTTATAATTGTAAGAGCTCGGGGTCTAAGGCATGTAGTTATAACTTTTGGGAGGAATAAGTCCTTCAAGCCAATGGGATTCCCCCCAATGGGCCTGGGAAAGGGAAACTAATACTTTTGGGCTATGATTTTATTATAAGATCTGAAAAAACCTTCGGATTCTACAAGTGCATATAAATTACACTCAATGTTGACTAAAATTAACACGCCTGGGGAAGTTAATGATGATTTTTTTATTTAATTAAGTTAAGTTGATATAGATATTATTTTAAAAAAGTTTAAAGTAAATAGTTATTTTAATTTTTTTTTAAATATATATAAAATGCCAGTAGTATGGTTTAAAATGATAGAAAGTAAACGTTTACCTATGTATGTTTTTTTATTCTTATTTATCACTTTATATAATATGTTTTATGTTTAAATAAAATGGTGTTAAAAAAGTATAATATACGCTGCAATTTGCTGGTTAAGGTTAAAAATTATTCAACTTACAAATAAAAATCTATTTTATCATATATAACGAATAAGTATACATAGTTGTTCTAAAAATATAGGTAATGTTATTTTTTTGTTAGGGGACCCTTGTATATGTTATCTCCGTATTGACCAATTATAAAGGCAAATTTAAAGGAAGATTAGATACTATCTAGAATATTATGACTGTTTTTATTGATATTTAAATTTTGAAGCAAGTTATGATAATTTTATTATTTTCAAAAACATTGAAGTTTTAAAATACTTATAATTTGCTGGTCAAATACCATTAAAAGCCTGCACAGAGCTCTTGATTAAAATCTTACATAAACATTTTTATAGTATTCACTATAATTTCAAAAATAATAAAGCAAAATGAATTAATTTGATGGTAAAATGTTTTATCTTGTTTTAAGACGAACCAACACATATACAGGTGTGGTGTCCCCTTTTTTCGGTAAATATTAATCTTGATCGGGGAATTTATATAATATATAAGTACTTATAAGTATTAAGTGAAAATATTGAATTCATAAATATTTACAGATATAAAAACATAATTCTGTAATAATACCAATTGATGAAATGTCGAGAATATTATGTTTCATGTTTAAATAAAATGGTTTAACATAAGGATAATATATATATATATATAGAATCTTATATTCGGCAAAAATTCAAAAATGTTTCAACTTCAAATTAAAATCTTATATTTTTTTTCATATTTAACAAGATACACAGTCTATTATTCTAAAAATAAAAGTAAATTATAGCAAAGTCCAGTAATGTTAAGAATGTAAGAAAAAAAAAATACTTCAAGTAGGTAGGTAAAATTATAAATTTGGGGATGTCAAAATGTATTTAGTTCTTAAGTTGTACCTTTTTATAGCTTGATGAGTCCGTAGTCTTATTGAAAATTCGTACTGAGTTTTTCGAGTCAACGAGAGTATTGTAGTTCCGCTGCTAAAACTTTTAATATTTGGAATCGTCGATCGACTATTCAATTGGTAACAGATGCATTATTGTATAAATACGTAATTTTTACAATAATAATTAATAACTATGGAAATGGTGGGGATATCACATACAATTTTATCTTTGATTATAAATGACTAAAGTGCGTAATATAGACAATAATTTTATCACAGAAAAATGAATACACTAATCCCAATTTAATGAGGGAAAAAAATAAAAATGTGATTTGTAGGTATCTAAGCGAAAATAATAAAATAAATAATAATAACCAAAAATATTTGTGGTGTAATCCAGCTTTCTTCCTATGAGTTATTTAAGGGTAAATAAACGGGGAGGGGGGTAGGTAAATTTTGTCCACCATAATTTGTGTATATTTTGAAAGCAGTAAGTTAAGTCCAGGGTATAAAAAAATAGTATAGGTCCAATGAGCGGCTATAAAGCTCACTGTTCGGTCCGCGAGCGCATAATATAGCCGTATACCTATCTCTCAGACATCAATTAATTCTATAGGCTCCGATAGATAAAACATAATACAAGTGGTCTCAATACACTACAGGCACATATATTTTATACAATTCATATCAAGACATATTATTTGTATTGTATTTATAGCATTATTTATAATTTGTACCATATATTTATGTAGTACATAATATTATTAAAACACATAGGTATATTTTAATTTATATCATAATTAAAAAATTGACTTCTGAAAAATGGAATGAACGTACTAACATTTAATCTGGGACTCAATTTACCTACTACCCTTAGTTCCGGAATTCAATTTAGGAATCCTGAAATGAACTGGGACGCATTCAGACTACTTGAAAAATATGATCAAATGATACTTTATTCAGGGCACACTCGGGCCAGTAATAAGGGTCATTTCGGGACTCGCCCGGAAAACTCCCATAAATTTAAACGATGAACTATTTACCCGATGGCTGATGAGACGATGATCTATATCATGACTCACGGGTGCTAAATTGAAATATTTTAGAAAAAAAAATTCACCGATACAAATCCCAACACTTTTTACATTGATAATAATAATACTGCACCTCTCTGGATTTTCAAAAAATTAATACAATTTTTAAAAAATTAAGTGGTACCAAAAAAAAATATTTAATTGTACATAATAATTATGGTAGGTACTAAAGGACTAGAATCTATAAAGCTTTTCTATTAGAAAAATTGCTTAATGCTTATGTTATATTTTACAATGCGGACCAGCCATATGTAATTTTGCTTCTTCGTTTACACACATGGTTGATTAAATGATGACTTGAAAGGTTTTTTTTTGAAGTGAAACTTTTTTAGATGCGTTAGAGTAAAATGGATTTATGGGCTCAGCCATTGCAATCAAAAAGCGTTACGCTGAACTAGAGTATTATTATTTGGACGAAAAATGGTGCCCATGATCAGTGATGATAACCAATCAATAGAAAACGTTCGGCTGGTTAACCGTTCTCTTATTATCTAGTTTAATTATAGGCCATAGGCGTGTTTACCGGTGTAGCAGCTATACCTATAGGCTTTAAAATATGCATCTACCACATTTTTTTTACCAGTTGATTGGTTTGAATGCCTGCAAGTTATAACCGCTTAATCCCAGTCGGGGAAATTCATTATTTATTATGAGTAGATACAATTTATCTGGACCAGTAAATAATTCTATGATTTAATATTAAACAACTAATCAAGTCTGATAGACGATAGTTACAGTGACTTGGTGATTCCAAAAGCAATGAATAAATATATAAGAGGGTGTGTTTACATTTTTCATTGTTAAAAAATAAATTATTATACTATCGTAGCCAACATAGTGATAATAACGCAGGTCTGTGTATAATACATACAATAATTTGGACTGTTCAAAATTTATTCGTCCGATTGTTACAAAATGCACTGCTTAATTTTGTATGCTGCATCTGCAATTAAAGTCTACTTAAAGTCGCGCTATCTGCAGGTCATCTGGTCGTCTGTTTAGAGGCGAAGGTTTCTATGGCAATAAATAATTATTAATTTGTCTTATCAGCTTATCTTTACATGTAACATTAATTTTTATATTTCCACTATCAACTTAATATTTGACCGTGATGAACCTTCTTCACACAGAGGGTAAAGAATTTTCACTTCAACCGTGTGGGCTTGCACCACGTACAATTTTTTTTTTTACAATTAGTAATCACGTGTTAATAGGTGATAAACTTCCTTGACCCAATCGTACTTTCGCGATGAATGTACCCATTCTGACCGTTTTCAGTTGTTATTCTCATTATTCTACAACGGGATGGTGTGGAACACGCAATCCGGTTTGGCTTAGTTTACGTGGGCGTTAAGGCGACTGTTTTATAATACTATCACTGTTTTATGCTATAATAAAGTACAAAGTACAAATGATAATTTCTTTGGACAATGATTCACACTCTTATATAATAACTAATAAGTTATAATAATACTAACGGACTTAATGGTGCTTAATATGCAATAACTTCAAGCCAGTTTAAGTTAAAGTGTTTTAACATTCGCATTCATCCGATAAGCTTACGAGTTGTCATGTAGGATGAGGCTACTATAATATTATCATTATCGGATTTTCTAATATTAACTCAGTAGCCGTAGAAAAAAAAACATTTCTATAATATTTCTACGTATTTAACTTAAATAATTTTAGCACTATTTAGAAATACTATGCACGGCGGTGCAACCCTCTGATAAAATTTCTGGCGGTGATGCCTATGCATACTACATAGTTTTTTTCAATTAGTGTTCATTAGAAATTGGATAACCAATCAATTCAGAAGTTTTTAATATATTTGAACAATTTAAATCAGAACATATTATGTGCATTATTCATTTTGAAGAATTTAAAAAAAAGTTATGCTAGTGGATGTATTAGATTAAAAACAGATAGCCGTACCTATTATACTTAGGTACAATTAGTCATTGGTAATATTATACTTGAACACTAGAAGAATTTTTCAATATATTAAATGATACTATATTTTACTAAAAGGTATAAAATATGCATTTTTCATTTAAGTTTATTTGCCTATTTTATATCAACCTATTTAATACATTAGTATAAATAAGTTTCAATAGAAATAAATAATTTTTTTTTTGTATTGCAGTGATTATTAATTTTTGTATATCCATATGGCTGCATACGAATTACTGCCCTAAATATACGAAAATGTACATCGCAAATTGTAATATACGAGTTGCGTCCGCGGTTTTTGCACAACACGTCCGAGTATATTATGTTATTATCCATCTATATCTAATTTAATTAGTTGTTTCAGATGCATTCTAGACATAATTGAGGAATATAACAATGATGATAATTGTAATTCTTTTTCTTTTTTTTTTGCAGATCGTACAAAAATGTGGTCAATTGTATATTTTATTGAGGAAAATACTGTTGAATGTATCCCGAACTTATGGTTCAAAAATAACGTATGTACCTACATGACTGAATAGTACAAATAAAATGATAACTCGTTGAACGACGCACTTCTCCAAATCAAATTGATTCTAACTTCTATAGACCATTGAAAAAAAAACACATTTTATTATCATTCTTTAGTTATTATAAAATGTAATGTAATACATTTTAAATATTAAATATGGTATAATTATAATTTATAAGCGATGCAAAAGCTACAGCTGTTCAGAATTAAAATCAAATTTTTACAAATTTTTCAAAGAACTAAAACATAATAACTTAATACCTTATCGTAGAATCATTTTCACTTCTTCCTGGATCAAAAATAATATTATAAGTAATAATTTAAAAAAAATAATATGATTACTTATTATTATTAACACAATTATATTTTATTAAGTTGTAAGCAATATTACTTTAAATTTTGATGGAAACAATATTGATAATATTTTATAACAATTACTAATTAGTGAACTTAAGTCTAATATTTATACATAGATACCTATACAGGTAATTATATATTATTATCTTTTTTTTAATAGGTATTGAAAAAAATCTCTTTTTAAATGAAACGCAAGTGCCAGCAATTCGCTAGCTTATTAATATACAAAAAACATGTAGTCCTTTTTCAAAAGTTATGGACTATACCGCTTGTAAAATTACAAACAACCAAAAGCCCTAACATTCAGTGTAAAAATAAATTATTTTTATTTGGAACCAATATTATTCAAAAACATTGAAGAATCTGTGCATCATGATAATAGTTAAATTTTGCTTCAATAATCAATGAATAAAATGCAATGTTAATTTGTAAACTATTTTTATTTTCATATTGGAAATTACTAAAAAAACAATGTGTTAACATGCCATACGGTTCAATTAGAAAATGATAAGACATCTTCTGGAGGTATGTATTATTTTCAAATTGCATGTTCTTTTAAATATATTTATATCATTTTTCATAAATATATATATAAATAATGTGTACAATACCTAAGTATGATATTTAAGAAATTCTTGAAATATTTTATTGTTTGAAAAATAAAACACGTCTAATTATGAGTTATGACCGAAGAAATACAAAACAGCTTAAATATTTAGAAACGTTTCAAGTCTGTAAATAGTTATTCATTTTTGAATTTCAACAAAAAGAAAATTGATTTTCTCAAAAACTTTTGCCAATTTTTCGTAATTTAGTTTATTCAATTAACCTAACCCCGATTATTAATATGGGTACTTCGACATTTTTTACTTTTGATCATCAAAGTACTAATTACATTACAATCTAATTTAACCTATTCCCCCTTATACTTTGTATCCATAATATTTATAATACACCTTAATTATGCAACTGATCAATGTGCGAATTAATAATTAGTATTATATACCTATAAATAGTACCAATTTGTTTATCAATATTGTTAAAAATCATTTTCATCTCTATTAAATATTATTTGAATGTTTCAATTATCCTACATAGTTATATAGTATAAATTGTATAATACTTAGTTAGCATTAATATCTAATATTTTAAATTTATAAATTTAATTTAATACAATCGTTAATCACTGATAGTATGATAAACAATTATTACCTATAGTAACCTATTCGGCCATTGTTTTTATGTTAATTTGTTTTTACTTTTTTTAATAGGTAAGTGCACTGATTAAAAACATACATTCTAAAAATATAAAGTGAGTACATTTTTTTAATTAGTAAATTTAAATTTAAAATTATATAATAAAAAACCTATATAATTTTGTATTATATTACACATAAAAAATAGAAATTAGACATAGAAATCTTAGTGTTGATTTAACTTTTAGAAATACTGTTGATAATGATGTTGTTAAATTACACAGATTTGGTATTTGAATTAACACCAAGAAGAGTATATTCAAACCATATTCATTGATAATAATTAGTATTAAAATAACAATATAATTGAATATAATATGTATAGTATATATTATATATTATTATTATTATTTCGACTTATTAATATAGTTAATTCAAATATATTAGTAGTATTACTAAAATAGTCCTTCTTTTTTTTTATCTCTCTGCAATATAGGCCATTCGGTGGTTATTTTTTTTATCTGTGGGAGAGTGTACGGTTGCCGGTTGGTTATATGTGGCGAGTATTTGTCACTAGAACCCGGGTGGTCATTCATCCGAAAACTAGTGACACCGGCTGATGCTTGACTTCAGAACACGTTTTTGTGACTGAAGTCAACCACCATGCCACATCAGCCATCAGGTCGCTATAAAACAATCATATCTTGAAAATAACAAGAAATGTTATTATCCCAGCAATATTTATAGTTTGTTCATTTTAACCGTGGTTTTTGTTTTTTGGCAACACTTTGCAGTTATTTCAACTTGAATAGTGTTGTTTTAATCAGTAGCTGACCAGCGCATAGAGGTCCATAAATCATAATCAAAATTTAGCCTGACAAAATTATTTTACTGACAATATTTTTTCGTAATGTCGTTTAGTTTAAATTAAAATTATTTTAAAGTTTTAACCATGGTTGATAAATAAATATGATGAAAATGTACTAAAATGAAACAAATTCATTTTCATTACTATAATTATTGTAATTAATGTGTTATTTTATAATTACTTTTTGTATTAAATTTAATAATAAATTATTTTATTCGGAATCATCGTCTTCGTCACTGTCACTGTCAAGTCACTATTTTTGTTCACCTTAACTAATTTAGTAGTGCCCTAATATCTTCGTAAAATGTGACAAGTATAACAGCTGTTAAACCACCAAACATTTTAGAGAAATAACTGTTATGATCGTCACGTACGCAACTCGACTGAAATAAAAATTATGTGTTTGTTCACCTAAATATGTATTTTCGACCACCGTGCTGCTCGGTTTTAGAGCTAAATGTTCTGACGAACAACAGAATATTTCTAATTAATTTCTAACAGCGTATAATCCCCCCCTCCCTCCCTTCTTCCATATTTTCGTAGTAAAATCTTTATGTTTGTTGCCTTCATAAATACATCATAATGTATTAACAATAAGTACCTACATTATTAAATTTTTTTAAGAAGGGGCAACTGCCCACCCTCAGTGGTGGTCAAATCATTTTGTTATGGAGAGGAAATACTTTTGCACTATTTAATTATTAAAAATATAATTTTCGTTTAAACCTAACACCATTTTTTTAAATTATGGCAATTACAAACTATATGCATAAAAGTATTAATAATATATTTATGAAGTTATTGAATCGATCGATATTATTTTATTTATTTTTTGCTAGTTCGTCTAATACTTTGTTTGCAGTTATATTTATAACCCCGCGATTAACAGCCATAGTCGCCAAGTATTTGACACGATTATAGAATAATATAATTACATAATATTTATATATACTTATTATAAGCAATAATTTTAAATTTTAAACATACTTTTTAATTTAATTTTATAAGAAATGAACAAAACCTAAAATGCTAGAATTTCAAATGCAAGGTGTGTCTTATATGTTTCAATATTTGAACTGTTAAGGTTACAAACACTATCAATTTTTCATCAGAACGACTTTAGACCTTAGTGACTGATAAAAATTACATGTTTCTAATAGTTCAATTTAAAAATATAAAGATTTTTGATTTGGTAAAAGTATACTTTGCATTAATATTTTCAACACTTTTTACAATTATAAAAAACGAAATTATTTTCTTCCAGCTTAAAGCACATAAAACAGGCAGCACATTTACTCTACCTTAGTATTTCTTAAACATACACACTTGTATGAAACAGTGTTTAAGAATATAGTCATTGAGGTAGACATATTCTGTAAAAATTGAATATAAGTAGTTGATAATTTATGTTTTCATAAAAATAAAAATTAGAAAAAAATGTAATACATTATATAATATACATACATGATAAACATTTTTATAAATATTGAAAAAAATGTCTGTTCATTGGTCATTCGGTCAGGAAGAGGAGGGGCTACGATATTTCAATGGGAGTAACCGAATAGGTTCTCATTTTGCCGAATTGGTCCCCGTTTGTGTTCCAGTCAAATAGTCCCAATTTTAATTTTTAAGCATATTTGTTTGCAATAGTAAATCATGTTATGTACTTATGTATAATTGGTACAAAAAAAAAAAAATTAGATAACTTAAAGTATAAATGTACTCGTGGTTAGGGTATCCTACACTACTCTGTATCAGTGGTTCTCAACCTTTTTTGGTTCATGGCATACTATTATACAATATACCTACATCACAAGTTTTTACGGCACACTCACGCACTTGACAACCACAACAACTTCGACAATTTTGTCAGAGGCATTATAGTTATCGCCATGCGCCTAACATGACGTATCGTCTTACTTATATTATTTATCTTTATATTATGTTGTTGCTGAATTTAAAAAAAAAATGTTATGAAATAAAACTAGTTTTCGAAAAAATCGAACTCTAAAAAAAATGATCATATACCTGAAATTTTCACTGAATGTTTGTGTTTTATATACACCATACAATTTTCAAAATGTTTTGACTTGTATTGAACTATTGACAGGCGTATACAATTTTAAATTATTAATTTTTTTTTTTAAACTAGAGAAAAAAAATTTTTTTACTTAATCAAAAAACTAGAAAATGTAACATAGGGTTCCTCGTAAGTTATTGTAAATGGAATTAAAAACCGATTTGAGATTAAATCCACAATAATTTTTTATGAGCGTTTGAATTCTAAATTCAAACAACATTCTAAATGTAGACAAAAGTCACCTATAAAATTTATATTTTTGCAATTATTATAGTTTGCTACTTAATATTAATCTAATTTGTATTTTATTGTTGAAGTTGAGTTCGATATCATGGGATCTAACGATTCACCTGATTTTTTTGCACTTAAGGATGATGTCTTACATTATTTAAACCCTATGAGTGAAAATAACTGTGAACGATTATCACAAAATACTGAACATCATCAATTCACTCAAATGAATGAAGACATTCATCTTAACCATCAGACGAAAACTCCAAGTAAATGCCATCATTAATAGAAATGTACTTGAAATATAACTGCGTTTAACTTGCATTATATTATAGATATTTGTATTAATCCTGTAAGAGAAAAAGACTGTGAAAGTTTATCACAAAACACTGAATATCATCAATTAACTCATCATCAAAACCAACAGATTCTTTCAGGTAAACACTACAGTTTATGTTGTAGTTTTAATACTAATTTTGTGTAACATTATTAATTTTTAGCGACTGATAATGAATTCATTGACAATGACAATGTGAATATGGGAAAAATGTTAATGTTTATTGGACATGCGGTTAAAGATGGTAAAATATAATATTTATCTATACTGTGTTTTTTTTATGAATTTCTCAGCTTGTATTTCTTCTTGTTTAGTGGCTAATGAAATTGCTGAAATAAAAAAAAGTATCAAAGAAATTAAACTTGATAATGTCAAAAACCAAGAATTACTTATATTGCTAACTGATCGTACCAAATATAATGCTACTAAATCAGAGGAAAAGGTTCATTTGTTTGGATCGAATTTAAAAGTTCCAGTTTCAAACCTCGATGATCTGCATAAATTGGAGTCCAATGAGGAGCAAAAAAAAATTTTAGTATGTTTTAATTACCTACTTTATTTATTTCTTACAAGAACTTTATAATCTTATTTAGTTACTATTTAGGCACAGTTATTAATACGCAATGGGAAATGTTTTGGTATCAGGCGTACCACTTATGAAATGATGAGGATACTGATGGATAATAGAGTGGCCGAAAGTCTAAACATGGATGGTAGGAGAGGTGAAAAACTACCTTTTGTGCGTATGGATCTGTACAAGATATTAATTGGCGAGTTTGATAAGTTTTAATTTTAAGGGTGAATAATATGTGAGAGTGTGCAAATAATTATTTTTATCATCCAATTAAATTAATTAATTATTATTGCTTATATTTTATTTATTTTTTTGATAATATTACGATATAAATTATTATAAAAACACTTTAAAATTGATAAAAGATGTACACAGATACATTTCTTACCTACCTTTCTTTCTTTTAAATAAAATAATTTAAACTATTATTTTGTTAAATCTTGACTTAATTTTACCTTGTTGAATTGTGGTTTTACACGAGTCTACTATAATATTTACTATTGGTTCAAGCTTAAGATTTGTTTAATTTTTAATATTTTACTGTATTATGGGTTGCAGATTCTGTAAAATATTTTTTTCCGGAAGAGTCAGTTCCACTTATAAAAGGATGCATTAGCGATTGGTTAAAACAAGCACCTAGACGTAAATAATTTTTAAATAATACATATTTAAATAATGTTATTTACTAATATCAAAAGAATATTATTATGTTATTTTTTTAAAATTATTATCGAGGTGCATTTTTATAATTTTTAAATAATACATTTTTTAAGTATGTATAGTTTTGAATATTACACTAATATTAATAGTATAACATTATGCTATAATATATCTTATCCTAGACGTAAATAATTTTTAAATAATTCATATTTAAACAATGTAATATACTAATATTAATATAGACTATTATAATCTTTTCTTTATTTTTTTTTTTTTTTTATAGAGACACATTTTTATAATTTTTAAACCAAACATTTGTTAACTATGTTCTAAATTATTATATTAATATCAATATAAAAAATATTATATTATGTTATTTTAGTAACAGAAAAAACAAACAACTTGAATTTTTATAATAAACTAGTTTTCGAAAAAATCGATTTTTGGTTTTAGTGTAACTCTAAAAAAAATAACCGTAGATGCATGAAATTTTCACTGAATGTTAGTGAAACATGTATTTATATTGATAAAACAATTTTTCTTTGTCAAAAACCTTATAAATGTAATACAAGGTTCCTAATAAGTTGTTTGAATCAAAAAAAAAGTTGAGCGTAAATCCACAATATTTTTTCTATGAGCGTTTGAATTTAGAATGTTGACAAAATTCGTAAAATCACAAAAATGAACAAATTATTTTGATTTAGGAATTCATACAAATTTTCTTTTTATACCTAAGATTTAAAAATTGAATACAAGATTCTTTATAAGTTAAGTCTTAACACTTCTACCGTAAAGCCAAATTAAATTTTTATGAGAGTTTGGAATGGAAATTTGTCCAACATTTTATATTCATTATATTTCTCAAGTAGCGATTTTCTTATTTTGTTTTAATTCAAAAGGGAATAACTTTAGACACTTGAAATTTACATCATATGTTTATTTCATAAATATTAAATTCTTATAGGTACTTGATGAAATGTTCAGTCAAAAAACATGAACATTTAATACAGGACTCTTGATATATTGCTACAATAGCAGTTGAATAAATAATAAAATAATTTTTTATATGCATTTAAAGTTCAAATGTTGACAACATTTCTCAAATTCAAAATTCAAAAATTATTTTGTAGTTAAAAATGCGTCCCATGTCGACCGTTGTCCATGAAACATCGTTCGCTACTACTCCGTTCAAATTTTTTTTTTTTATACTTTATACTGCACCGATTTTCTCCATTCAAAGACGTACATCTCGAATAAAGGAAGCTGTGTCGAAAGAACTGGGCACCACATCTGCAGCTGCACCAGCATCTCCCTTAACTTCGGTAACGTTAAAAAAATAATTACTCAACTAATTGCTATCTTCTGTACGGCAGCCGCGCCACGGTCGGTCACCAGGCCGGTTGCCGCGTACGTCTTATCGCCGCGCGATAAGCACTACATCCTAATTACCTGCGTGCACTATGGCATCATATAAATCTAAAACCGTCGTATCTCCTTTAATTATCCCTAAATCACGTATACAGAGCGTGCCAAATAAATCACCAAACCAATCTGCCCATTCAGAGCTTGGGGATGACTGGACCACTCCGACTGTTAAAAAACGTGCAAATCCGCTTTCAACATCCCCAGACTCAAACCCAGCAACAAACACAAAAAAATTCGCGTCTCAAAATCGTTTCGCAATTTTCTCCGACCCGGTTGACGAAACCGAACAAATGGAACAAGATTCAGACCTCAATGAACCTCTCTCCGCCCAAATCAAACCTCCACCACCTATATATTTTATTCGCACTGTTAAGGACTACAAAGCCTTTTGTGATAGCATCAAAGAAATAACAAAAGGGGAACCTTTTTCGTGCAAAAGTTCCATTAATGGTATCAAACTGTCCACTAGCTCTGCTGATTCTTATCGCACTGTGATTAAATTTTTACAATCCAACAAAGCTGATTTTCATACGTTTCAACTTAAAGAAGACAGAGCCTTCAGAGTTGTTATCAGGAACTTACATCACTCAACTCCAATTTCTGAAATCAAAAACGAACTTATAGCTCTCGGGCACGCGCCACGAAACATAACTAATGTGCTACAGCGCATCACCAAACAACCTCTGCCGTTATTTTTCATTGATTTAGAGCCCAACATCAATAACAGAGATGTATTTAATATCGATCAGTTATTCTATTCGAAAATAAAAATTGAAGAACCCCGAGCTAATCATCAACCAGTTCAATGTCTCCGATGCCAAGGTTTCGGCCACACTAAATCCTACTGTAACCATGCCCCAAAATGTGTTCGCTGTGGAGATCCTCATACCTCGGATGTCTGCTTAAAACCTGCAAGTTTACCAGCCAAATGTGCGCTTTGCAGCGGTGATCACCCGGCAAACAACAGAGGTTGCCCAGCCTACAAAAAAATCCAAGCCTCACACAATTCTAAGAAGTCATACTAAGCTCAAGTTAATCGTACCCATACAAACACTAATGTAACACCTACTAATGTAAACACCTCCTCCAATATGAACACATTACCAAAAAAAACTTATGCCAATGTAACCAAAAACGACCCCTCTAATCAGCCTTACCCCCCTAATGATACCTCGAACACTGACAACCTAGCCCACCAAATGGCGTCCTTTCTTAATAGTTTTCAAGCAACTATCAATCCTTTAATCTCCTTGCTCACTTCTCTAATAGAAAAACTCATCCATCCTAACAATGGTAAATAGACAAAATACTATCCATCACCCGATCTCAATTCTATTATGGAACGCTAACGAACTAACCCACCAAAAAAACGAACTCTCTGCATTCCTTCTACTAAATTCAATAGATTTACTTCTTATTAGTGAAGCCCATCTAACACCAAACTCCTCGTTCAAATTACCTGGCTATATAACGTACAACTGCGACCACCCTGATGGCTCAAGACACGCCGGCTCAGCAATACTAATAAAACCCAATATCAAGCACACAATACTTCCCTCGTTTCAAAATAATTGCATACAAGCTACAAACATTGCTTTGACCTTAAACCACATTCATACTACTATCTCCTCAGCCTACTTTCGCCCTGGCATAAAAATAAGTACGCTCGAGCTTTCACGCTATTTTACCTCCCTCGGCAACAACTTTTTAATAGGCAGTGACTTTAACTCAAAACATCCCCGGTGGGGCTTAGGTTCACCAAACACCAGAGGGCGGCTACTAAATAACTTTTTACTCAATCACAATTTAAAAATCATTTCCCCATCTAACCCTACATATTGGCCCTCACATGCCAATAGACAACCTGATGTTCTAGATTTCTTCATAACTTCCCTACCCGGTCATATAAATCATTCCATATCAAATCTCTCAGACTTATCTTCTGACCACACACCTTTACTCCTAAATTTAAATGAATTGTCTACTACAACGACTACTCGTCATACATTAACTCCAGGGAAAACAAATTGGGAAAAATTTAGTCAAACTATAGACGACCTCATTTTACTAAACATCCCTTTAAAAACACCTTCAGACTTGGATAATGCAGTCCAATCATTTACAAATGTCCTTCAAAACGCAGCACGAAATTCTTCACAAATGACATCTAATACCCCCAAAGTCACTAAAGATTTACCTCTTCACATAACACAACTAATTTCTGAAAAACGCAGAGCCCGTTGTAGATGGCAAAGAACGCACCTGCCTAGTGACAAAAAAAAATATAATGCTCTCACTTGCTCCCTAAAAAACGTACTTCGAAAGTACAATTCTGAAAAATATCTACAGTATCTAAAATCTCTCTCCAGTTCAGATAACTCACTGTGGAAATCAACTAAAAATATTTTAAAAGAAAAAAACAAAACACCTCCTCTACGTTACCCAGATAGATCCTTAGCTTCATCAAACTTAGACAAAGCAAATNTACGTTACCCAGATAGATCCTTAGCTTCATCAAACTTAGACAAAGCAAATCTTTTCGCAACTGATCTGGAAAGTAGATTTACGCCTCATACAGACATTTTAAATTTAGAACACTCCCATCATGTCGAAACCTCATTAATCAACACCCTACCAATGTGTCTTCCAACAAAACATACTTCCCCTTCTGAAGTTAAAAACATTATTAGTAAATTGCGAAATAATAAATCACCTGGCCATGACCTGATAACCAATACCATTACGAAGAAACTGCCGAAAAAAGCAATCCTACTACTTACGTATATCTATAATGGCATACTTCGCCTTTCATACATCCCTTCCACATGGAAGCACTCAGTCATCATTCTTATTCATAAACCGGGCAAGCCACCCGATATCCCGTCTTCTTACAGACCCATCAGTCTTCTCCCTACGTTCTCTAAAATCCTCGAAAAAATTATCCTAAAAAGAATTTATCCAATTTTAAATGAAAAAAATATTATTCCTAACGCTCAATTCGGTTTTAGAAGCAATCACTCTTCGCTCCATCAAATACACAGAATAGCTGACAACATTGCTTCTTCCCTTGAGCAAAAAAACTTTTGTTCAGGGGTTTTTCTCGACGTTGCACAGGCGTTTGATCGTGTCTGGCACGAAGGCCTTCTTTATAAACTTCTCTTTCTACCCACTCCACTATACCTCACCTTAAAATCTTTCCTCACAAACCGCTCCTTCGTAGTACGATGTGAGGAAGAGTATTCTAATATTCATCCTATAAGAGCAGGCGTCCCCCAAGGCAGCACTCTCGCACCTACATTGTTCAATATATATACAGCTGATCTACCTCAATCAAATAACACCAACTTAGCTACTTTTGCAGACGATACTGCAATAATCTCATCCAGTCCTAACTTAGACTCTGCCATAAATAACCTCCAAGACCACCTAACAAACTTACAAAACTGGTTTAATTTATGGAGAATAAAAATAAATGAAAGCAAATAAACTCATATTACCTTTACCCTCCGCCCAAAAAATATTCCCCCCGTTTATCTCAAAGACAAAATAATCCCTATGGGCACATCAGTCAAGTACCTCGGTCTCCATCTAGATAAAAGACTGACCTGGGCAACGCATATAAAATCAAAACGAA